GGCGGGAGGCAGAGGAGTAACGGGGTGTGGAGCTGTCGGCCCTCTGCCTCGGGAACGCCCCGGGCGCTGGGGCGCTGCTGCGAAAGCCGGCCTGTCTGGGAGGTCGCGGCTTTGCCAGCCTCAGCACAAAAGGTGGAATGTCGCCACTCGGGCTCGCCAACGGGTTGCTTGTTTTGCATGTGAAAACCATCCTGCTTCGACTGTTTCATCTGTTCGTGTGATACAGCATCCTCACCTGCATGCGGATGAAACCGATAGAGGGGTACACAGCACCATAACCTAGCCCATGCGTGTGTGTAAGTGTCAGTGTAACTGTGATTACCATTGCTTAGCGACGGGTGCCTACTGAGCTTTTTCCTCTCCTTTTTTTCTTGTTCCACTTAAGTTGAGAGATATGAAAACACGTGAGACATGATCAAGATAGCTGAAGTGACAGAAGCCCCTTGTGCGCTCAAAAAGTTCCTTTACCGTAGTAAGTTTTTTGGCCTCTGGAAGTCATTTTTATGCCAATGAGAAAAGCATAGTCTTGCCTTTAAATTCCACAAGGGTGATACTTGTCCTAGCAATTGTGCTGCTGATGTTATGGGATTTTATAAAAGAGTTTTGGACAGTGTTCCATGGCTAGGACTCTTACAGACACAACAAAGCTGATCTTTGATGGAATAAGTGGTTGCTTTTGGAAGTTGCTACTAAAGTTCCACAGGCAATTTGTGCCTTTTTAGTATATTTACAAATGAGCCAGGGGAAAGGGAGATGATGGAGTTTGCTATCAACGCCTAAGTTATTCAATGTGGTAAAAAAGAAAGAATTGCAGAATGGTTTCATGATGCTGCATGGTGTTACAGTGCAGTTCAGTATTGGTAAATGCAAGGTAAGAGAGTAAGTTATTCAGCCTAAATAGTCACGTGCCTACAGTGAAGTTGCATGCCCACATCTCAAATGCTGCATGCATTTGAAGATAAGTGCTGACTGCAACTTTTTTTCCCCCCAACAAAATAGGGTTTACCGTTTTCTTTCAAAACTGATAGCGATGCTGTCTCTGTTTCTGTAGTAGCTAAGTAAAGCATTTGTTCAGGAATAAAGGAATAAAGACCCCTTAACCCCTGATTTAGACAAAGCTCATATTGCAGCTATGAGACTAGATGGCAAGGAGGCTGCTGTGGGCTAGATACATGATCCTGCTGCCTACATTTTTCGCAAATGCAAGGCTGGGTGAGTGTCTGTCACAGGGAGCAGAATTCCATTGCCATCAGAATGACTTTTTCAGTCAGAAACGGTGCATCTTTGTATGAGATTGCAGGTTGAGTGCCTTCAGTTTCTAATACTTCTATTAGAAGTGAGTTAATAGGAGTTTAAAGTCTGGTGGAAATTAAGAGGAATGGGAGAAGACAAGGCAACTCATCATGCATTCATATTTATTAGCAGAGAAAGCAGTAAGCTTTGTATCCACCACCACTATGGTGAGCTATCAGATCATGGGGTATTTTCATCCTGTCTGCAATTAAATAGATCTTCAGAGTGTGGATACATTAGAAAAGATACTTGCAGATATTTACCCTACAGTGAATCTGAATAACAGACTTCCAGCTTTGACATGAGCCTGACTGAATTAGGATAGCATGGAGCATTCGACACATGGTGGATGGCGCACAGAAGGAGTAGGCAGGATGTTAAAGAAGTCAGCGTGCTTTACAGTGGCTACATGCTTTACTCCAGGCTAGAAAAAATAATTACAAAATTAAGTATGACCTGGGCAAACAAATGGTTATATCTGGGTATTTGCAGTCAGATTCAGAAATGTAATGGGAGCGGGTAAGCACCTAGGTAGAAAGTGGGCTGTTTTTACTATGTGAGAGCATTCAGTGTCTTATTATAGTTACAGTAATTTCACAGTAATCTCTTGCTGTTTCAGAGATGCCATGCATTGGAGAATGGAAATGTTAGTTCTTCCTACTTACTTGAGGGACTGTGAAATGCTGCTTAAGTTGTGGGTTTCTCAGTGTTAGCAAAGTGTTAGCTCTAGGGAACTCTGAGAAAAACAACATGAAGTTATTTTTTTTTCAGAGTAGTTCCCTGCGGTATAATTTTTAGTGCTTTGTTCCATCCAATTTTAAATCACTCCACTGCTGGAGCTTTTATTTGCCTTGTAGCTTTTCTACTAACAAGTCTCACTGCTGGCAATTTGTTCTTAACTGCATTTGCTAACATCACTTGTAACTAATACCATTCTAGACCACTGTAAAATTAATATCTCTTCACAATCTCCATAGGGTTCTAGTTGTTGCAAGCTTATCTAAGGCCTCTTTAGAAATCAGCTGGCTATTCTCTATATTTATTTTTAATTAATCCATACAACAGTTTCCTTAACCCTTATTGTTGCTAGTGTAGGAAGTCTGTGGGATCAGAAGTGCATAACCTTTGCAGCAGCAGGAGCTTGCATTAGCAGCTTGCCAGGATGCCTGGGGGCAGCACCTAATTTCCATATATATTTACACAGGATTTTAATCAGAAATAGATGCACATAGTAGCATTTATTTATAGAGTGCTGTAAGTATATGCAGCACTTCAGAGCACAGAATCTGCTTTGAAGGCTGCAGGGAAAGTAAAATCAATGGGGAAGCCAATCTCTTACTCAGCCCAGCTGCTCAAAAGCAACGTTTTTTTCTTGAAGCAAACAGATTTTATATTTACCACCTATGATTTGTTTGGGGAGTGGTGTGGAGATGACACTTGTTTTCTTTAATAACTGTATCTAACAATGGGCATTGGCCATCTTGTTTAAAAATAACTGTGATAATATTTGTTGTACTGGTCAGAGTGTTACTTAACAAAACAAATTAACCAGCTCACAAATTATATCCAGTGGGCTTTGGCTTAGAGTTTGTCTGTACTGGGATATATCCTTGGATATATATACAATCTTCTCCATATTTCAAAACTGTTATTTAGGAGTCACAGTTATGGATGTGCATCCATACAGTCAGTTAGAAAGAAAAAATTTGAAGTTTTGCTCACTCGACTACAAAATCTTCCAATTTCCGTATATCCCTCAATAAGAAAGGTAGAAACCTGCATAAGGCATCACCTTTTTTTAGACTACCACGTATTTTAAGAAATACCCCACAAAGTATCCTTACATTTGCTGAGTACAAATCTGCTTTTTACCTTTCTTAAAAGAACTGTTACGTATACTTCTGTTATTTCTGGAATGGACAGTAAGCAGCAGAATCTTCTTCACTGTAAATTTTTAGGTTGTTCTGTCCGACTAACACCAAACAGAACAGACGGGGGGGCGGGGTGTGAGAGGCTGGAGCAGAGGTACCAGATGCCAAGCTGGGGTACGTGTTAACTGTTGGTGCTTATCAACCTTAACTGTCTGGGGACACTATGATGTATGTTAGGATGTTAGGAGATACAAGCATACGTCAAGACTCTCATTAACCATTTCTTTAGTACTAAGAATAAAAATGCTATGTTCAGGTGGAAGAAGTGAACTCTTTTGGTTGTTTTAAATATCTTTATTTTTCATGCAGTAAAGTTATATTGGATATATCAGTGCAAATGTACAAGTAAATTTTAAGAGGCATTTCCAGGTATCTCCGGATTTTTTTATTTATAACTACATATATCAGCGTAACTTCCCACAAGAGTGCATTAGTATACATTTCCAAACTATAAACATTTTCCCTTAATGAGACTGGTCTTGTGTTTCATAAAATGGTCTCACAGGTTTTTTTAACGCAGTAACCAGGAGCAGAACACATCACTTTAGCCACAGGTAGGCTTTTCTCACGCTGCATTGTTAAATAGCTCTCTCCTTGAAATACACTTTCACTGATTATTTAGTTTGTTCCCTGTTCTCTTCTGGGGAAAGGAGTGGTCATTCCTGTAAACAGTGACAGTGTTGTGAGGGTGGACACGATGGTCCTGTGAAGAAGAAATTGTTCAGGTTAGACATTAGGAAAAATTCCTTCACAGAAAGGGCTGTCAAGCATTGGAACGGGCTGTCTAGGGAAGTGGTTGAGTCCCCATCCCTGGATCCCTGGAGGTATTTAACAGATGGGCAGACGAGGTGCTTAGGGACATGGTTTAGTGGTGGGATGGCAGGGTTAGGTTAATGGTTGGGCTTGATGATCTTGAAGGTCTTTTCCAACCTAAACTATTCTATGAGTCTAAGAGGAGGAAGGGGTATGTAAGATTTTTTTTTTTTCTGTTGGAAAAGAAGGAAAATACCAGGCAAAGCACAGTTCTAGACTTGATATTGTAAGCTCACTGGGATATTGACTGTCTTTCATTTTTGTGTTTACAGTACCTGCAACAGTAATGGCTTATGCTGCTGCTGGTTCAACAAAGTAGGTTTATATGCAGAATGCAAGTGTGGTTCAGTTAAGAATAGTTCAGTGGCTTCTGGGGTAACTGAGTTACCACATAACAATAATGTTATATTCATTTAACTTTTCTACCATGATTCTTGGCCCATGAATTTAGAAAATGGAGAAGGTTATTCCAGAAGCCCAGAATACTGGACATATCAGAAGTGTAGCTTTCCCTAAGTCACTATGAAAACTTCTTTTCCTGTGGCAATTGCAATCAAATGGATAGTTCCTCAGCCAAAATATGAGCAGTAGACATTAAGCAGTAGCAAAAAAATCCCTTTGCTTTTGATGGAGTCAAAGTCCTGATTCCAATTTAAGGTTCTATTGTCACCTACTTGTCTTTTCCCTACCGTTGTTCAAACGCTCCCGAACAGGAACAAAGTATCTAACAGAAGATGTATCACGGGAAGCCAGCGTGTTAGGGCTTCAGCCATAATTTCATCCATTTATCTTCAATAACACATACAGCTACTGTTAAATCTGGTGGGATAAAAATTAGCTGTGAGGGAAAATTTGTGATAGGTGGTACAAAATAATCTTTCACTTCGGTTGCATTGATCTTGCAATAGTGCCTGGAGCCACAGGATGGCACTGTCCTTAAATACACAGGAACCTTGTGGAGGGCAAAACCAAATTAGAAGGCTTGAATCTGTTCAAGCAGGAAAGAGAACTTTTTTTTAAAAAAGGATTAGAGAGTGGGGACAAGGAAAAACAAATGCACTTTTCCCCAGTTTACTCTGAAGTTTTATTACAGTATAGTTATTTCTGTAAAATATGAGTTGTAGAAGAAAGCTTTTCTTTGTGGTTATTTCTATAAGCTATCTAAGAGTTCTAGAAAAAAAAACCTTTCTTGTCAATTGTAATTGGATTCAATCATGAATAGTAAGATTTGCTCCATTTTGTAAATTAAATGAGTTGTTCGTGCTGGACTGACTTGAGCACTCTGGCAGGGTGGCTGGCTGTGGTTTGCTAAAGTACCTCAAACCTGTGACTGCAAAAAGGGAAATATGTTTTTTAGGGACTGACTGGCCCTGGTCCTTGCCCTTACTAGAAGAGATTATCCAAGAATAGGACTGTTGTGCTTGAATTTGAGCACTGCCAATCAATCATAAAATTGAAATTTCAAAATTTGTTTCTTGTAGGCTGCTGTGTGATGGTAATTATGGATCTGATTTCCATATGATATTTTAAAAGGACAATGCTTCTTATGTTTAATGTCATTTATATAAAACTTATGTATGCATGCCACGTGATGAACTGGAAGATTTGAGCCTCTGTAGGAAACATTCTGACACAAAGCGTCTTTTGAAATGTGTCAACACTGAAAGCAAATATTGTTTTCCTATGCAAACAAATTTAGTCAGTAAAACTTTTTCAGTAATTGGAAGGCTTAGTATCTGCTTCCCTACGGTTCATGAGTATTAAATGCAAAGTTATATTTACAATTGAATTGTAAACTGTGCTTTTTGTTGTGTTGTAGTAATTTTACAATAAATTGTTCATCCAAACTGTTTACCAAAGAGGGAGGTGGGAGGAAGAAATGTGATTGTTAGACTGCTAGCAAGCTGGTCAAATACTCAGATATAGCTGGAGTTATTCCATATCTTAATTAGTTCAGTATCTTATTTATAAGTCAGACAGGATTTGCTAGTCTTCTGTGCAGCCATTATGTTGAATAATGTAGCTGCTGTTAATGCAAAAGTGTCGCTGGTGCAATAGCCTTTTTTAAGGGTCACCATTCTGCCAGAATAACCAGTGCTCAGTCATTGTTCGGATTACCTTGTTACAAGCCACTACTGTTAAAATATCTTAAAAAAGGGGCGTGAAAAGCACTTTTCACATACTAACTTTCTGAAAACAATTGAAGCTTCTGGTTTTTTGAACCAGGTCAATTTACAGTTAACACACTGATGCACACAGCTTCTAGCTAGCAGTCACTTTTAAGACCTAATTGTTCTCTTCAAGTGAATAGCAGTGAAATTACATTATAGAGCTATTGTATAATTTACTTTAAATAATGTCAAGAAGTCTTTAACATCCAGCTGGTATTTAACTGAAGAGATTTGCATGGAAAATTCCAAATTTCTGTTGTGAAGTCACATGTAATAAGCCAAAACAGTTCAACTTTTACAGGACACAATGTACATACATTTCCAACAGATGCTTAATTTCTGTCTTTTAAGATTATATTCTTGTACTTTGTTTTAGGAAGAAAATATGACTGTAACAGAGGATTTTAGTAGAGCAGAAAATACTTACCAAATGGAAGCAGAGGTATGTATTCAACCTAACCAATATAATAATAATAAAATAATAAGAAATGTAGCAAGGACCAATGAAGATTTACAGTCTGTCTGTCCTCATACCGAGGAGTAGATGTTCTCTGCAGTAAAGGCAGCATAGTCCAGAGAAACTCTTGAAGGACTGCAGTTTAAAGCAAGAGTTCAGCTGCAGCCTTCTGTTGTGTGCAGAACTTGTTTTCTGCTACTGTAATACAGAAAGAATTATTTTCTTCTCACATGAATGTGTACTTTTTAAATATTACACAGTGCTACAGAAGGGAATATGTGGTTCTGAGGCTCTAAGGTTGTCGTTCTGTGGCAGCGTAAGCAAGCCCACGATTCTGCACCCTCCTTCACCCGTAGCCCTTCCTGCCCTCTACTTCTTGCAAGGAGTTGCACCTTCTTGCAAGGTGACCAGGTGATAGGTCAGTTCAGAAAGCTGCTGCAGTTAATAACTTTTTTTTTTTTTCCAGATTAGCTTTTATTTTTTCCATTATTTTAGCTCCCTGAACTGGAGGCAATGCAAGGCAGAGGACAAGAGTGGATGAGGGACAACAGTGGCGTGGCAACCCTAATCTAGATCTGTTTAAGCCACGGTTGAACAGCACCTGGACTTTGGTCTATTCTACACGACTCTGCCATCAGCTTGCTGCAAGTAAAGCAAAGCTAATTGTTTTCTAGGTAATTGACTTGGTGTTCTGTAGGTAAAAAGTGCTGTGTGAAAGCTAAATATTATGGGAATAATCCCATTTACTTCGGAAAGCAGCTCAGGGGAGTATATTTCTGCACGTTCATGCTATAGTAAGAAATAAATGCTGTGCTGGAAACATTCACTGAGGGAAATGATGTGTTTTCAGTCAATAGATCTTTTTGGAGCATCAAACTTTAATCACTACCCAGCAAATTTACGGATTCTTATGAAGTAAACCTGGAAGCCTGCAATAAAATGATAGCTGTTTTATAGAGCTGTCATTTACAATCCCCTAAAACAGGGTTCAGCCTCCTTAGTTCTCTTGCTTGCTGTCGGGCATATTCTCATCTAAATAACAGCAATAAATACAGAAATAATCGAGAATTTGGAGAACAAAATTTGGATTTTAAAACGAGTCTTTAGATACTTAAATGCATTAGTGTCATGTTCTGAATTACTTTAGCTTCATAAAGTAGACACCTACTATCATGAGAGCTTAAAGCACCATGTTTTTTAGATAAGCTATACTTAAAAATAAATAAAACTATATTGAATTATTTACAGACAAGCTTAGGCTTACAACTTCAGTCTTAAATAGTAACTTAACCGATCTTCTCCCTTCTGCTACTAATTTTTATACAACGAAGTTTGTACATGGAAAGCCAATTATGTGAATTTAGTGTTCATTTGTAGGCAGGTTGGACCAGCTGTGATTGCTGTGCAGAAGTTATACGGCTGCCTAGGACCTGGGTGTCAGAACTTGAAAAGTCTGGCCCTAGTGCTGCTGGTCTGGCTGCCCTGCACACTGAAGTAGCAGTATGATCGCTCTTTATGGAGAGATTACTTTCTCCTTGCTTCCCCCTTTGTGTATGTACTTTTTTCACTAGTGCAGCTTCATAAACTAATGAAGTTCCATTGACCAGCGTGTTTGCATGCTTTAGCAATACAAGATAATTTAAAATTAACTTACACTCACTTCTTTACTAAAGAGTTTGCCGTTATATTTGTGATATACATAAAATCATGGAAGTCGTGCATTATTTCATTCTATGAACCCTTTTTACCATTTGACTACTATAAGAGTTTTTAGAGGACTGAAGAAATTCCCAGACAAATAGCTATTTTAAGGTACAATTAAGAATTCAAGATAGACTTTCGACTGTAAGGAGATAAATTTTAATTCATGCTATAACAAAGGAAAATGTGCAGGAGAATGAAGTTGTGTGTGAGATCACAAAGCTGTATAATATCTTAATAGTTCGTTTATTGCATAGTGATCATGCGATGAAGATTATATTGGTTTTGTGCATTTCTTAATATATTGCATCCTTATAAACCATAACTTCTTGTCCTTTACAGCCTTACCCAAACCTTACAGTGTCCATAATAGCTTTGCATACCTTCATATTGCTTTTTCACACTTTTTAACCTTAATCATAATTTTATTGAAGAAATTTAAACACTGCTTTGCATTTAATGCTCAGGTATCCTCTGTAAATCTATGTGGAATTTATTGTGTCTAGCTCTAAATGAAAATTGTGATTTTGGGGGGGAAAACCCAGGAAAATTCACAGCTATTGCTCAGTTGTTTTCTGCCCCTGAGGGTACCTGATTACATGATGCTTTTTTTAACAACTAAGCTCCTGACTGCCCAGAACTGCCCTTATCTCTCCCTTAAGACCCACAGTTCTTTTGTTTGATCATTTTTTTTGTTCCATCCCCTTGAGGGAACTAATCCTGTAAACAGTGATGGCAATCTGGAAAACACTGTGACAGTCCTCGTAGTGAGACTTTCAACTCTCCACAAAATACGACTATGACAGTTTTTTGGCAAAACAGCACAAGAGGATGTGTGCTTTTTATATATGGCAAGAACTCCCACTAAAGACAGAAATCTAGATTTCGTCTCATCTTCAGTCTTTGTTCAAACCAGTACTGCACCTTGCAGAAAGCGATCCAACCCCCAAGTGACAGATACAGGGTGTGCAGCTGAAGTGAAGATGCAGACTCGGTGCAGTTTGGCACAACAGGTGTGACCCTTTGTCCTCGCAGGAGATGGAATTGCCCTGTCACTCCCTTTTGGTCAGTTTTTAAGGGGCTAAGCCCAGCTTTGGCTCAGTTGCGTGAATTGCTACTGAGCCAGTGCAAGGATTCAAGCCAGGATGAGGTACAGGTACTGCACCGAAAGGCTACCAAGGGTAACGAGATGTGTGCATTAATTACATTGTGATAATTGTCAATATCCATTTTTCACCTTACCCTGTATATGAAGTAGCCGCCTCCTCTCTCACTGAGAGATTCAACTTCCTTGAATTACCTCATTTTCCACAAGGTAAATCTGTGGTATGCACACAGGGAGCTACTGCAGTGCAGCTGACACGCCATAGCTTGGATTTCTGTACCATACACCTTCACCGGGATAGATTGCTGCCTGGAGTGCAGCCATCACAGGGGTGACTGTACGTCACATGGGTTGGCAGTGGAATTTTCTTTACCACAGCTTTTTTCTTCCCCTCCTGTGGAAGCTGTATTACTGTGCAAAAAGAAGGAGTCAGGGATAAGAGAGAATGTGAGCCTGACTTGGTGGTGAGAGCACTGTTCTGGGAAGTGAAGATGAGGGCTTAGTTCTTTTGAAAAAAGAGTTTGGGACCCAGGATTTCTGATTTCTGAATGTTGTACCAGCTCAGCGTCATTGCTTCACTCCTGGCAACTGTGCTCTGTTGCAGAAAAAGGCTGGCTCCTGCCTGGAAAGTCGTCACCTGGCTGGCACTTCCCCGCAAGGAAGGCTGTGGGGCTCTGGATCCAGGGCCAATACTGGTGCCTGCTTTGCAGCACTTGGGAAAGCACCTGAATTCCTGATGCATCTGTGTTTAATGCTGCTTATTGCCAAAGCCACAGGCAGCTAGAGGTTTAAATTGTTCTTAATCCAATCTCAAGTGCCCAGCTCGCTGTCAGCACTGGAGTGAGTCTGTTCAGCCTACACAGGGTTTTGAGCCCACTGCAAAGCTGGACTGGACTAGGCTTAGTTTAATCTTATCATTTAGGTTTCTTGAACCTAATGCTTGGAATTAAAATGTAATTTTCCTTCCTGCACAATGTTTTCCACATCACTTTGCTTGGGCTTCTGCATAATTAACAACTAGTAATCTAAAAAGGGAAGAACCAGGATGCATCTAGTCATGCGTCCCAAAGAGCACATTCATTCTTCGAATTGTCTACATACCAAGAATGCCATACTTCCTCACAAAAGAGCATTTTTTAATCCTTGCTTTAACTATTTTGTGAACTTCTTTCTGTTGCAAACCCAATGATAGTCTTTAGGGCTATATAAAAGCACTCTAAGTAAATAAATGTTGGACTTATATAAAGGAGTAATATGTTCAGTTAGTTCGTACATGTCTGATTTAAATACAAGTGTTGAATCATAGGGGGAAAATGAAAAAAAAGTACTTGTGTGATGTCTGTGTTCATGCCCAGGTCTGTATGACATTCAGCGATTTTGGAAAAATGCAGACTGTTTGCAATCTACTCATTGAAAAGTTAGGAACCTCTGTTACCATCAGCCCACCTCATTTCTACCATACGCCAGAAGCCATTGACACCCTTCGGTAAGTCTTCTCTCACGCCACAAAGTTTACAGCTTCAGATAACAGTTAATAGGAATATATAGTATATACTGTTTGTAATGGGAGCAAATAGTTTCCTTCATACCTATTAAAATTTATGTTCAAGTTTTTCAATATTTGTTTTAACTAGAAATTAATGCTTTTCAGCCTAGAAGTACAGCTTGTTCTTTCGACAGTGTCCCTGTGCAAAAGCAGAATGTAATAAAAAAGTTTCCTACTGATTTCCATCGGAAGTATAATCTAGTGTGAACATTAGGTCAACAGAATTTGACTTTGGCTACATCAGCACCTGTAGATTTAATTTGTATTTATTGGTGATGGTACAAGTGTGTTGATGATACAAGACGTTGATGATTCAAAGTACCCTTGCCAGTTCCCATTGCACTTAGCTGCTGACATGATCTGAAAAGAACCATGTACAGTGCTTGCTCAGCATCAAAACACAGAATCATAGAATCGTTAGGTTGGAAACGACAATGCGCTACTGCGAAGCTCACAGTCTTCATATTTTAGGCGTTAACTATTCAAAGTCGTACTTTTCCCATTGACATGGGGGGTGGCAGAGGGAAGTTTAATCTTGGTTTGGGTTTTGTGTCTTTAAAGAAAAAAATTACGCCTGGCCCAAGAAGCACGCTCAGCTAGCTGCTGCTGGCGGTTCTGGAGGTATCAGGAGAGTATTTGTCTCAAAGGTACCTACGCAGGAGTCTGGCAGTCAGGCTGGTGAGGTTAAACAGGGGCTAGTATGCCTTGAAGCTGGGCCACCCAAATGCCTAGAGCAAGGGTGGAGCTCTTGCTCTCCACCACACACCAGGGATGCTTGCTTATAGCTGGTGAGGATGCTGATGTTTCTTCTGCACGCTCCCCCCTCAAACTCTTAACCGTCACCCAGAACCCAGGGGAAGGTGATGTGCCTTACATCTACGCAGTTACAAAAGCTGAGCATTAAAAAAAAAATATAATGCTTGGCAGGAACACTTGTAGGTCAGTTGGCCCTGCTTGTTATTGTGCTGCTGCTTCTACCTCTCAGCCGTCAAGTATGCGTTGCCGCTGTTGGAAACACACGTCGGAAAGCTCAAGAAGTCTGTCGACTGTTTGGCCAGTCATTGGGAAAACCTTTATTAATAAGAGAAGAAGAAACAAAAGAATGGGGAGGCCACGTAGACAGTCATCTATCCAACTCCCCGGAGTCACTGACTCTGCAGGAAAGAATCCAGAATGCTACTGCTTATGCTTCTTGTAGAGTGTTTGCGGTGTTTGAGCTAAAGGGAAAAGAAAACAGAAGAAACAAGTTGCTTTAGCAACTTTCAAATCCAACACATTTTCTTAATAAAATTTTTATGCTTTCTTGAGCTTTTTGTTGTTGTGTTTTTACTTTATTCTTATGGTAGGAAGTAGAGCTAAGAGAGGAGAGTAACAATGCGGGTTGTGTAGTGAGCCAACTTAGAAGGTTTCTTAACACCTGTCCAGGTGCAAAAAAAATGCAGATTAACTCTTCCTTTGCATATATCATTTGAAAGCAGCACAGTGTGTGGTTCTGTAAAGGGAGTAGTCAAAGTATTGTAGGATTTACTTACTACAGCTCTCCCTGGAAATATTTCCGTTCCTCTTGGCCTTTATTTAGCTCTATCCCCTACAATTAAGGTTAAGATAATTCTGAAAGTGTCACACTGTTCAGCCCCTTTGACTGGGGTGGGGGGGTCCTTTATGTGCGGTGGCACAGGTTCAAGGGAGAGCACATAGAGTCTTCAGGCCAGCCTCACTTAGATGACTCCTTTAGGGGGTTCTCCTGAAAGGCAAAAGGCGCCCATTTGCACTCCTCTATTTGCCTAGACCAAGCCTCTCCTGATAGATGAATGCTTCCACTACTTGCTGTTAAATACAGGTACTGTCCCTACCCCCACTTTAAAAGAAGGCATCCACAGCAGCGAGGTATCCCTTGCAAAACGCCGTTTGTATGTGGCATGCATGCCTGAAGGCCGTTTTCTGGATCAGAGTCTACGAATCAGGTGCACCTTGCATAGGCTAGGAATCAAAACCCACCCAGACCATGAAACACAAAAAAGAATTTTTGGAGGTCCGCGGTTCAGCAGGGAGACATGATTCAGTCTGGGCAGCAGCTGATCAGAAGCTGTTTAAAATGCAGATTTTTCAGAGTGGAATTTAGAAGCCAAAATACTTTGCTATATCTGGTAGAAAGAGACTAAAATGACTCATCCAACTTTGACAGGTCAGTGAAATCCTAAACCAAAAGTCCATGCCTACAACAGCCTGTACACGACACAAGTCAAGTTGCTAAAACACTGACAAAACCAGGCAGTTGGATGCTCTGAAGTAGGCAGTACCTGGGTTTGGTCATTTCTCACTTCCAAAAACACATACTCAAAAGCACAACAGTAATTTATCTGCTTTCTCTGATTAGTTTTCACTCACTTTGCAAAATAGATAGTATCTATTAAGCCAAAGGTCAGCCAACTTTTAAAAGTACAGGATAACAAAGAAGTTGCAACTGAATAAAAAATAAATACTACCTCTAATCCCATAATAATTGTTATCTTTGCCTCAGGAATGTAAGCTGTAGATTTGCCAAATCCACTGGCTTTGTTAATTAGAATTCAATAGTGAGGAGTATCTTTTAGATCCTGTAAAAACAGAAGGAAAATGAATAGCCTCAAGGTGAGATGATGACTAAAGATTAGGTTATGTAATCAGCCAGCTCTCACTAGGCTTACAGAACCTAAAACCACTCAATACATACACACAGCAAGTTCATTTTTATGATCTTGCCAACATCAGTTTGGAAAATTAAAGCAATCAAAACTGTAATACACAAAGTTCTTGGCATATCTGAAACAATTTTTAAGAGTCAAGACTTTAACTAACCTTCTCTCCCATAGAGCTGGCAAGAAACGTGACTTAGAATATCCCTGCTTTTTTGTATATAGGTCCCATAACAATTTGCTAGTCACCCTTCTTCCTTCACAAGCGGCAACAGAGAACACCAGAGAAAAAGAGGCAAATTCAGAGCATAACACCACCTCCGACAATCTCGGTCCCAATCCTGCACAGAGCTAAGGCAATTTCCATGGATATATAAGAATCTTCCAGCCAAGAAAGAAGCGTGGCTTACTGTTATTTTTACAGTGTGTGTGAACCCAAATCATAGGCCGGGGTCCCACCGTGCTCGCTACTCTCCATAAACATTCCTGCCCGAAGTAACCCGCAATCTAAACACAAAAAAAGTGATGGATGAATATGGACAGATCACTGGAGTTTATGGAGCAGTTGGTATCGATCAATGTGACAGGCAGTGGCCTCTGCTCACCAATGTAGCGAAGAACTGGAAGTCAGAATAAGGCAAGGACAAGTTGGGCGGAAAGCCTGGCTAATGTTTAGGGGGGATTTGCAAGGACCAGGCTTAGTGGTTGCCTCATAAAGGTCAGAAGGCATTTTGCATAGCTGATGCATGTAATGTGAAAATGCAAGTTAAAAAAACCCCAAAAGACAGGCACTTAACGTCATTACTGCTGAAATTAAAACAATAGAGATGAACACAAAGGTCACTGGGCGGATAGAACAATATGAGGTATGTGGAAAGAGTCAGAACGCCTGATGGGAAATGCACCGGTGTTCAGTTGGTGACAACAATACTGAGAGGAGAAAAGGAGAGGAGAAAAGAAAGCAAGGATGCAGGTGTTTTAGAAGCCAAAAATGAGTGGCAGGTGGATAAAACTACAGCAGGGAAGGAACAAAACGCACAAAGCAGGACTGAATGCCTGCTCCCAGCTGAACGTGAATTCTCTGCTACAGGCAGAGTTTCTCATTTTCAGGCCTCTTTGACTTAATGATTAGCGCCTTCCTGCCACCTAAGCAGCATGTCAGCGGCCAACCCACGGAGTGTGCAGCACTCTATTATCAGAGCAGCACTGTCAACAGAGATGTAGCATCTGATTTTCAAACACAACAAGGACTTAGGCTAGAGAATTTCAAAAGCTTCCAGAATTCTGACAAAAATACCCTGTTAAATAGATTTACGTTCCAAGTGTCCAGATCCCCCAAACCATTGCTTTCTGACTGAAATTGGTTAAACACAAAGGATTACTTGCATTTCTTAGGTGCAGTGAAGATGTTACCAATTATATTCACACTGGAAGATCAGATCAGAGATTTAACAGCCTCTCAACTTTAGTAACACACCACAAGAAACCCGTTCAAACATTAAAGGTTGACACTCCTACATTAAATACAACACTGTGTATTAAAAGTGAGTAATTCTAATTTGAGACGTGTCCAGTACAACCCTGACCAGGGAAGCTTAACCCATCAGTGGTGCAAAAGCAAAGCTCTACTGGGACAGCAGCGCAGAAGCAGTGGAGGTAGAGCTCAGCTGCACAGGTGATATGGGGCTCTTAGTTTTTTTCCACTAAGTCAGCAGGAAGTCTGTCTGTAACAGAGTTTCCGAGGGTTGTTTTTTTTCTTTTAACCTGAGTTATTCTGTGTATGTATTAATAAAGTGAGAGTTTAATACATTCAAACCTGTTTTGCTGGAGAGTGTTTGTGTTGTAGCCATTCTGGAGCGTTAGCTTTTACATCCCATCCAACAATGACTCCCGAATAACTAAATCTTTTGTGAACTGTTACCTGCCCCACACTGAACTGAATATATTCAGGCTTTGGACTGTGAACATGAGTTGATTCTAATTTAACAAAGAAAGAGACTTCACAAGGATAAGTGGTTGGTCAAGTATATTAAACATTTAAACAGACAACCTCCTGACTTCTACCAGAAGAGAAGTGATAGTTAGATTAATAGGCAAAATAAACAAGGGAACAGGTACTTTGCTTTTTTCCCCCCCAGAATTTTACTATGATATTTGACAAAGCAGCATCCACAAGAAATGCGTTTTTCTATTTGTATGCCTTTCATATTACAAGGGGGTCTTAAACAGAGTTTTGGAAAGCATAAGCATATGTATGTATTGACAATTACTTAAGCCTTACATACAGTATTTTACAGTGCTTACACATGCAAACAGATTTTGCCATTAGTTTTTTCCAGTTCAGGTTACAGAATTCTTCTAGTCAGTCTGACTGCAGGGAATTTCTTTCCAGGACTAGACTGATCACTTGTTTCTTTTTCCTTTTATGAAGTTGATCTGAATCAGTTCATCTGAATCGAGTGAAAGCTACACCACTGTTTCATACATCAATGCAAAATAGGCACACTCGGATCGATTCAATAAAATAGACACAACATTGATACTGTTGTTACACAACACAGGGTGAAAAGGCCTCGGATTTTACATTTTCTATTTTGCTTACTGAACATTATCAACAAAGTTCAGAGAGGAGGAAAAAAACCCCAGCAACTACCATTTGCAAAGCAAGTCTAGATATCCACTCTAGAGGACCTTATAGAAGACAGTATCACAAGCAAAATCCCAAAGGACTGCAAAGACCTCAATACCTGTCAAATAAGAATGGGTTTCTGCTTCACGGTGGCCAACTTTAGTTTTCTTTTCTCCGTAGTACCAATTCCTAAAATGTAAAATTAATAACCCGACAGTCAAACAAGTTCTTTAGAAACTGAATTTTAAGATAATTGGCCTTCTGATTATTACTATCTTAAGCATTCATCCAAATAGAGGGATATTGCAAAGCCTTTGATACAAAATTCTTCACCATTTGAAGCCCAAACAGAATGAGTTTTACAGTGAAACTGCTTTTGAGCAATACACAAGACAAAGCAATTTGTTCCAACAGGAAAAAAAAGAGTATGAATCTAATTTCTTTGGATACGTAACTCTACAGTTGCACCGTAATTTTTATATCACAGGAAACCCATTTGTTTTCTATTGGTGAGCAAGTATTATCCTGAACTCTAGCAGAGTGATTCTTCAGTATCTCTTGTAAATTGTATTGTGAGATCTTTAAAGATTGGTTAACATTGGTATGGTCAAGGTATCTGGCAATGAGTCCCAGTTTAAGGCTACAAGAAGTCTAACTTCTCCCCCTGCACTAGGCGGAATTTCATATGAATTTGAAGGGTGGTGGCTAGGGAAGGGACATCTTTACAAAAGTGAAATGGCTTGTGGTTTACATTGCCATTGTGAAAAAGAGAAAGTGGAAAGAAACTAGGAGCAAACTCGACATCTAGTGGGGTGGAGCTTTCAAATATACCTGCTGGCAATGGAACAGGAGCAGTCTATGAGCAGATGCATTTGGGTTAAGATTCTCCATCCATACCAGTCAGCAACCTGTTGGTGTGAAAGAACTATAAGTTGTCCAGTCTCCTGTCTCTTTTATGGTATTCACCACCTTCCCTCTTTCAGTCTTACTCCCTTCACCCTGC